CAACAGGAAGAAATTTCAAAAAAGAAAAGACTGCCTCCCAAAATTCATTTAATTTGTGTCACTCTAGCTGATGAGCATTACCAATTAGCTTTATTAGGTTGTTTAAATATGTTGCCCCCCACCCTCCAAAACATTCTTGCCTGACCACTAGAGAGAATTTTAAGGAGGGAGGAAAGTTTCAAAATAGTAAAACTTCCATTAGGCCTAGTGATGAAACATGTCCATATACAGAGGCAAAAATACAGTTATTGTTGGAAAGAAGGGACAGAAAAATGTTTTATAGCCAAATTATCTACATGTATAAAATTTAGTACTCCACTGTGTAATTGTTTAGAGCATTATTTTATATTATGCTGCAATTTAGCCTAGTAATTTAGCCCACCGGCTTCCACACTCTCTAAAAATCAATGGAAAACTACAGTTTCAAAGAAATTTTAGTAGGAAATAATGTAAATTTATTTCCTTATGAAGTTACCATCACAAACCAAGATTTGAAGATTTTCTCCAGTTCATTTATGATTGGCTATTTATACTGTAAATCTACCCTCATGTCAACTTTAAATCATCTTTAAAAAAAAAATCCTCACCCGAGGATTATGTTTCTGTTGATTTTAGAGAGGGAGACAGACAGACAGACAGACAGACACAGACATCCTGCAAACCAGGTATGTGCCCTGACCAGGAATTGAACCTTCCAACTTTCGGTGTAAGGTACAATGCTCCAACCAACTGAGCCACCCGGCCAGGACTAAATCATCTTTAATATATGAAAAGCCCTAGAATGTTATTAAATCTCCAAGGAAGTATTATTTTTAACTTTTTAAAATTAAAAGGTACACCTCTGCAAAGAAAAGCAGTAACTTTATTTTCCGTCCCGAGCACCTATTCGAGGATTAATTTTCTGAAACCCTTTCACAACCTTAGATATGTCAGCAGGTGTTCAGGAGTTCTTCCTGCTGAGATTTCACATTAGGACAAAAAAAAAGAGGTTTGCATCTGTCAGTCGACAAGATTACTAAATCACTATTGTTGCATATTAATAATTTAAAAGTGTTTCTTTTAATGCTGATAATGAAGCCATTTTCCCTCTAAAGCCATACTTTGTTAGGAACTTTCTAAATTTAGAAAAAAAAATTGTAACTCTAAAATCCAATTATTTGAACCCAGTTTACTAAATTTAGCTTCATGGTAAATTGTTCTGTCCTTGGAACTACATAAAAGTTCAGAGTTTGTCACTAAACATCAAGATCTTGTTAATTGCATATGTGATGCCCTATTTGATGCTATAGAAAATTAAATCTGACCTTTGCCCTTGATATCTGTGACCTACTACAATACTGATGCAGACTTAGAGTGCATAAAGCATACTGAATGAGTTCATAGAGTATGTGGCTATCTTCATCTAAAAACTTCAAAGCATTCTTCAAGAATGTAATACCAGCTGATAGAAATAAATCCAGTGATGCTTAACCCGAGCTAAGTGGTCAGTCTGACAGTAAGGGCCAGCAGTCCTTCCTCCCTTCTCTTTAGTCCTAACCAAAGACCACATCTGTTCTGCAACACTATTACAAGAAGCACATCTCTTTCAGCAAACAGGAAATCAACTGGACAATTTCAATGGACACTGTTCACACATAATGAACTTTTGCTGAAAAGTTCTCGTTACCTTTCTATTATGGTGAGATGATAGTCCACTCCTTCATGTCAGAATGGGCCTTAAATTATTCAAAGAGTATAAAAAATAATCACGTTTTAGTTTTAGAATTTCCATTTGCAACTATACTTTAACTTGTCCTGCAACTTGTCCTGAGGATCTGACAGCCTCCAGAGATGGATGAACAAAGCAGAGAAGTTTATTTGGGCAAGACACCATTGCTCTTTTCTCTGAAATCCTTGCAAATGTGATTGTTCCAGAGGACACTGTGCAACAACTGATTGATTAGTGTTCTACCCAAGGAGAAGCTGCCAGTCCTGGCTCTATAATGACCAATATCCAGTTATTTTGAACCATTTTACTATATGTCATAACAGTCCTTACAGCCAATTGAACATGAAAATTTAGTTCTATGTCAGATTAAACATATCTTTGTTGCAGAAATAGAGGAAGCATTAGGCTTAATCTGGTTAAAGACCCTTACTTTTATTCATACCTGTATTTATTGAATGCTAACTACGAATTTATTAACAGACTAGAGGCCCGGAGCACGAAATTCATGCATGGGTAGGATTCCTAGACCTGGCCTGTGATCAGGGCCAATCTTCCCCAGCTGCCAGCAGCCAGCCCTTCCCTCCTTCTCCCCCCCCCCCCCCCCACCGGTTGCCCTCTGTGTGGGGGGCAACTGGCAGGGCGATTGGGGCCCCGCTCACACTCGCCTTGGCCTGGCGCCACCCACATCCACCACCACCCACTCCCACTTCCCTATTCCCCATTGGGTCATTGGATCCTGCTGGCTAGGGGGAGGGACTGAGAGGTTGGCCAGCAGGCCCCGATCAGGTGATCGGAGTCTGCGGGCTAGGGGCAGCTCCTGCGTTGAGCGTCTGCCCCCTGGTGGTCATCACATGTCATAGCGACTGGTTGTTCGGCCATCCCAGTCGATTTGCATATTATGCTTTTATTATATAGGATGTTTAAGATGAAATCCTTGACTATCATGAGTCAGAGCCCACTGGTAAATTAGAGAAAGACAATATGTACTGAAATAAATGTAATAAAGATCAATGGTTCGCTGTCTTTTAAATAATTGTACTGTGTAAACAACATATCCAAGGGCTCACTGCTGGGTTGAAGCATCTATACTAATAAAAGGGTAAAATGCTAATTAGACCAGATACACCGGACATCATTCTAGACGTGCTTCCTGACAAAGCCAGGGCCTGGGCAAAGCCACCCGGAGTCTCGGGTGCCTGCAGCCGGCCAGATGGAAGGAAGCCTGGGTCCCGGTTGCCTGCAGCTGGCCAGCGGGAGGGAAGCCCAGGTCCTGGTTGCCTGCGGCTGGCTGGAGGAGGGAAGTCTGGGTCCTGGGTGTGGGGGCTGAGGCAGAGGTGTTTAGGGTCGATCAGGCAGGCAGGCAAGCAGTTAGGGGCGATCAGGCAGGCAGGCAGATCGATTAGGGGCGATTAGGCAGACAGGTGAGCAGTTAGGGGCATCAGGCAGGGAGGCAGGTGGTTAAGGGCAATCAGGCAAGCAGGCCAGTGGTTAGGAGCCAGTGGTCACGGATTGCGAGAGGGTGCAGCCCAGGCTGAGGGACCCTCCCCTCCCGTGCACAAATTTCATGCACTGAGCCTCTAGTCTATATATAAAATTTGGATAATGGTATCCATTTTGCAGGACTATTAATAATGAGTGAGGTTGGTCATATAGCAGAAAACTTATTTCTCATCTTTGTGCTCCCACTGCTTTTAGTACAGTGATTTGCATATTTTAACTGGGTATGTAAACATTTACTGGAATGAGGCGAACTGTTGACCTAAGTCTGCTCTAGATGGTCTTGCGCTTAATGTATTCTAATTGCAATGTTTCTGTTTACATTTTTTATGCTATGGAAGGCTTTCGAGTCAAGGAGGGAGCCTGTTGGGTAGGAGACTGGGGGATTTTCCAACCCATACAATATACTTTAGGTTCTACATGGGCTTGGTGTAGTGCCTACATTCATTATTATTTATAAGTCAGTTCCTTTACAGATCTAAGTGCTGAGACCAGCTCCCAGGCATCTTCATGTCAACTTCTTTCTATAATTATTACATGGCCTCCTTTGTGGAAGTTTTTATGTGTGCATTCAACATCACTTAATCTAAGATAGCTACTGTCCTGGAACTTTTGATCTGTCAATTTCTTCAAGGAAAGCCATCCTGGCTAGATTTTAATCTCTTTGAATTGTGGCCTCCGCTATGAACGTCTTAGCTGAGGTTTTAATGGGCAAGATTTAAGTAAATTTAACAGATATACCAGTGGGTGTTCCAATTACACACTCCATTAAAGGGCTTTATGTGAGGATTAAAAAACATGCTATTAAAAAATAGTCCAAGTGCAGTACAATTTACCAGCGGGAAAGATTGCAGGGCCCTGGAAAAGATTCATATAAAAAAAGAAGCTAGGAAAATGAAAAGGCACAGCATTCAACACACTCCAGAGGAAGCGTGGCGTTCTTTGGCTCTTTGCTCTCGGACAGGTAAAATGCTTGGTATTTCTAGCACTTCCTAAAGACCACATGCTATTGTTTGTCTATGGGGCTTTTGCACCCTACAGGCTAAGTCCAGGTGTGACGGTGTCTAAAGAAACATTGACCTTTATGGCCATTGTCACCCCTGGCCACAGAGATCTAGCCTTTGGGGAGTTGCAACAGCTCATTGACCAGTATTTGATTTTGTCTTTAGCCTCTTCCCATCAAATGAAAATTAATTTGAAGATTCTTTGAGAAAACTCTACATATCGTTAGATCATTTGAGACCACCTTAGCCAGGGAGACATCTGGTCTGGGACTCAGTGCATTTAAAGGTGTTGAGTGAGTCCTTTCTCACAGACAGTCCAGCCAGCACCAATGCATGGAGACTAGAGGACAGATAGTCAACAAAATGTAATTAGTACCTAGTGTAGCCATTTAACGTCATAAAACATACTTTTTAGCCAGAAATTTTCAGTAGAAGCTATTTATCAGAGTAGATGGCCCAATTGCCTTTACCCTAGGAATAACAAAATTGAAAACCAATGACAAAAGGGGAAAAGGTTAAGACAAAAGGTGAACTTCATAAGGGAGAAATCATGAATTTGGATAACAAAATAATAATGAAAATAAAAATAGAATATTTTACTTTAAAGAACTGCGTTGGTCCCCAATGGTTAGGAAACTCAAGATAAGCAAGTGGGTATGTACCCGTGTGTGAAAATTGTAGATGACTCCTACCCCCATCTTCCATTGGGTTAGTGACACAACTGTTAGGCTTTCCACCAAAGAGGTCTTTTTTGCTCAACCCGGTCTGGGTCTATTTTGATTGTTGCATTGATGTTTATTAGAATGGAGCCAATACCAAAACTTCTAGCTGGACTTATTTTGTTGACATTGTGTGTGGTGAGCTGCTCCAGCCAGCACTGGTCCTACGGATTGCGCCCTGGAGGAAAAAGAAATGCAGAAAATTTGATTGACTCGTTTCAAGAGGTAAGTCTCTCTCACCTTCCAAATGAGACATGGCTTATTTGGCTCAATAATCAAATATAGTAACTATACCCGCATTCTGGGTGTGTCCACAATACTAGACTCCATCCTGGGTATTCCAGGGGTGATAAGACACTTACACAGTGAAGTCCATCCCTGCTTTAAACTCAGATGAGGACCAATAAGGCAAAGGAAAGGAACAACTCCAAGAGAATACAGCAACAAGTGCACAAGGTGTGGTACTCAGAGCACACAGAATTGCCAAAGGAATTAGAAACAACGGATGGAGCCAGGGTCTCCAGGGCAAGATGATCCTTGAGAGTTTGAAAGAAAATCTTAGAAGTTCTGCTTATGATTTTTTCTTTCTTATTTTATCTTTTAAAAAATACCTACGATTTATGTCAGCAGTACATTTTTATAACATAAATACATATCCTATCAAGGGTGCATACTCTATAATTCCTTTTTACTAATATGGGTATTTAATCATAGAAGCCAGAGGCTGCTAGAGCAGAAGAGTTAGCAACTCAAGGAGACAAAACATATACTGGAAAGTATGCTGGATTTCATTTCATGTAAATTCGATTTCAGTGCTAACAGAGGACTTGGTTTGTTTGGTTTCCTTAATTTATAAAACGCAACTTCTTGGAATGGGAGGATTCCTTGAGAGGGGCCATATATATAGCTGGTCAGTGGATTTATAAAAAACAGATCTTGTTATTATTTGTTTTTTAATTATGGGAAATAAACTTGGCCCTAAAGGATGTGTGATTCGGGGCTGGGACACTTAATATAAGCCTGAAAATGGGAAACTTAATGGGAGAAACTTAAAATCACTGGAAAGAAATCTCTCTTTGGAGAATAATAATTTTGTATGAAATATAGAAGCCCCAGAATTTGAAGTTTCCTTTACACAAGATTGTATGTGAAGCAACTCTCATTTAACTATGACACAATAACTAAAAATTAGAACATAAAAATCAACCCTATTCATAACTATAACTCTGGCATATTTTGGGTACTGTCTTCTCCTGAGTTAGAAGTGCCTCATCCTCAGCATCTCCAGAAAGGAAATCTCTCTGCTGCCTCCCCAGCACCTCCACCGCCTGGCAGATGTGTGCTCTTCAAGCCCCCATCCCAATCCCGCACCCTTCTCAGTCCCCCATCCACCTTGACCCCATTTTCCACAGATGATTTTCAGTGGAAATGGGAAATCCTGTTTCATGTCTCTATCTCCATCTCCAAGAATCACATTCTTTTACTTCAGAGAGCCAAAGAGGTTGATCAGCTAGCAGAACCTCAGCACTTCGAATGCACCCTTCACCAACCACCTTCTGCCCTCAGGGAGCTGAAAGGAGCGCTGGTGAGTGACAGTGAAAATAACGCCCTACCTGGTTTGGCTCAGTGGATAGAGCTTCAGCCTGCGGACCGAAGGGTCTCCAGTTTGATTCCAGTCAAGGGCACATGGCCAGGTTGCGGGCTCTGTTCCCAGTGGGGGCATGCAGGAGGCAGCCAATCAATGATTCTCTCTCATCATTGATGTTTCTATCTCTCTCTCCCTTCCTCTGTGAAATCAATAATATATATATTAAAATCAATAATAAATATATATATGTATATTAACATGGGCTTTAGAAATGGACCGGCCCCTGGGTACCACCTTGTCGGAAGTCCACTTAGGGCAACCATGTTTCAGCCACTTCGTGACTTCCCTTCCTGACTGCCTGAGTTCCTCCTGTGGTAGAGTCCTCACTATCGCATGACACCCCCTCTTGGTGGTTAGAGTACAATGGCTGGAACCTTTCTTTTTGTTTTCTTTCATAAATGGAATTGAAATCACCCTGTAACCCTTATCTGCTAATGTTGGCTTTAGCCTTTAGGATGATGGGCAAAACAAATCTCTTCCCACTGCTCCATGTCAGTCCTTCAGTGTGTCCATATATTCTTCAAATATACACCCCAGACTCTTCTTTAGGTAACCATCCCTCTCACCAATTTTTCATTTGTCCTGGTATGGCATTGTGGTCCCTGGGAAATGCAGAAATCAAAAGTGGTGCCCTAGCCCAGACGGGTGGCTCAGCTGGTTGAACGTCGTTCGATGTACCAGGAGGTTGCCAGTTCAATTCCTACTCAGGGCACATACCTGGGTTGTGCGTTCCATCCCTGGTTGGGGCATGTCTGGAGGGCAATCAATCTATGTTCTCTCTCACATGGATGTTTCTCTCTCTCTCTCTCTCTCTCTCTCTCTCTCTCTCTCTCTCTCTCCCCCCCCACACCCCTTTCTCTTCCTTTCTCTCTAAAAACACTAAGCATATCCTTGGGCAAGGACTTTAAAAAATGGAAATATAGTAACCCAATGTAGACTTGATTTTTTTTAAAGTACAAAGAGAATTGAATATAGAAATGGAATCTTGAGGTCTGTGTGGGTGTTCTCTGAGCCCCGTGTCCACTTGTTTGTACAGTTAGGAGGCATGGCAGGTAACGATGTTGTGCCAGGAGCAGGGAAGCCTGAATAGATCATATGTGAAGTTAAGCTATAGTTTTGGTTTTCTCCATTGACTTGAACTTCCACACCCATAGGAAAATGGAAAACGCAGGCAGGCATCTTTATTTCCTTTCTCTTTCTAATCCTGCTTACTGCATGATAAAATACTATAGCAAGCACTAAAATTTCCCAAACATGACATTAGGAGAAGGAATTGAAGCAAAGGCTTGGTTAATAGCAAACTGATAGTTCAGACCCTTCTTTCGCTGTCTTCCTCACATCCTATCCTTAAATTATTGATGTAGATTTTATTATAAATAACTTTAAAAAACATGATTGTATATCTCTTTAGCATTTTCTAGTGCACAAAACAAATGAATCTTTTATTTCTATTTCAATGATTTAGAAATAATGTATCAAAACATACATAATGAAATTTAGCCAGTAAAATCAACCCTGAGCTATTTGTTACTCACATATTTTTCAGGAAAGTCTGATTGAAGAGGAAACTGGGCAGAAGAAGATTTAAATCCACTGGTCCAAAAGGAATGACAACACAAGTATAATTCTGACTTTGAAATCTGTGACCCATTTAATATCTGTAAATTGTGTGAATTTCAGAAATTCTTATGCCAAGGTGCATGTATTTCATAATGAAGTAGTGTGAATAAAGTGGCATAAATGTTAACGAAGTCTTTCTCTAACTCAAACCTCTGGTGGGGGAGGGATATTGTAAGCAACAAAGGGGACTCCTCCAGATGTGTCTACAGAAGCAGAGGAGAGGAGAGAGAACACAAAGTCAACACTACTGTTGGCCAGGAATCTCAGGCTCTCCTCCTTCACCCCCCTGTACCCACAGGGCAACAGCCCCATGTTGGTCTGGGCCAAAAAAGCTGATTCAGCTACAGTGTCCTATGGAATTGTAGTTTTATTTTGACCACACCCTACAGAAGTTAGATGGGGTCAGGATGTCTCTAATTCCTTTGACAGTCAATTAGAACCTGAGAGAGGCCTAGGGAGGCCTCGCTGGGCTCCTACTCCGTTGCTTCTCCTGTCCCATGTGGTCTCTCCAGGTTCACCAGAGCAAGTGGTGCACTCGAGTTTTGGGACCAAGACCTAAAAGTAATAGTGTTCACCTGCCTGATGTTTATGTTACTTTCCTCTGCATGATGGAGTGTAGAGTCAGTTGAAGACAGGTGTTCCCTTGGTCAAATAGCATTGCCACCATTCATTCTCTCCAGAGAGCCAGGTTTTGTGCTAGATACATGCATATTTTCATTACCCCTCATAATGACCAGGGAAAGTAGGTATTGTGGTCTTCCCTTTGCAATGAAGAAACTGGGGTTCCAACAGTTTGAGACAGACCCACTCCACTGTGTCGGGTCCCGTGGTCAGTGATTCTGTATTGCACTATTATGAGCAGCCAATGGACTTGGACCTGGGAGCTCAGTTATTTTAATTGGAGCTGAGAAAGGATACTGAGGCTCCCATGTCAACTTAGTTTTACTGGTGACCATTTCTCTATGAGGTCCCAGACACTGTAACACTAACATTCTCATTTATCCCTATAACTCCAAGAGAGTCGGAGACCATTTGGAGAACTCAAATTTCAGATTACTTGTTTGGTGTGACAGCAACAAACTGTGCCTGTATTCACATGGCAAAGACCTAGGCCGTTTTTTCCTCTTTTAATCAAAGAGATGAAGCTTTCCTTCTCCCCTCCCTGGCCCTATACCTCTGAAAAGGGCAAGAAAGACCTATATTAAGGAATTTAAATATGGGTCAGAAATATTCTATGGGGGAGAAAACCTCCCCTTTTTAGTATAAATATTTATTACTGTACAGTACTAGATTTTCCAAATATCACCGTTTGCAGAATCTCTAAAACTGAATCAAAGACTTCTCCACTCCCACTTTAATAAAATTAGGCAGTCATGTGGTCTATACTCTACTTTATGACACATCACCCCCAGTAGGGTGCATGCAGGAGGCAGCTAATCAATGATTCATCGTTTCTATCTCTCTCTCCCTCCCCTTCTTCTCTGAAATCAATAAAAATATATTTTAAAAAGTTTTAAAATGGCAACATATTTTATACATCCTGTTTGGAGTCTCAGGTTTCCTTTGCCAAAGCCTGTCTTTGGGACAATTTCTTTGGAGCCAGCTGTGGGCCTCCCTGAATGGGATGTATGCCTGATGCTGATGTTAGAGGCTTGGGATGGCATCCAGTAGTTTGCAACATGAACATATTGGATAATTTGATTCTCAAATGCCCAAGTGACTGAGGGGAAGGAGAATAAAAATGACCCCTTTATTAAAATTTTAAGCATTTTCCTAGATCTGAAGAACTCTCTAACTCATCAATGTAGTTTGAAAAAAGGCTGCATTGTTTCAAAATAGAAGTTGGGGAAACATAAAACATGATAGATTTAATTAGGCAAGTTCTCAAATATATATGGCTTTAAATGAGAAAGTAACAGAAAAAAGAGATCATTTTAACAGAAGTTGTAGTATTCTAGAGATGATTGGGGAAAAAGGCAAGAATTATTACATTAATAGCCGCGCTTACAAATTTTGACAGGGCAAGGTGCTCTAAAAGAAGTATTTTTCTTTTCTTTTTTTCCAAATCAAGTCTTTTTTTAAAAAAATCCTATATAATAAAAGCCTAATATATTAAATGTCCGGTTGTCCAGTTAGCTGTTGAACCAATCAAAGTGTAATATGATAATGATATGCTAAGGTCACTCACTATGACATGCACTGACCTCCAGGGGGCAGACAGTCGACCGGTCGACCAGTCGCTATGACTTGCACTGATCACCAGGAGGAAGATGCTCTGACCAGTAGGTGATCTTGCTGCTGGGGTCTGGCCGATTGGGTCTGAGCGAGATAGGCTGGACACACCCTGGAGCCCTCCCACGGTCCCTCTGTGGCTGGCCAACCTCCCATGTCCCTCCCTAGCCCCGATCATGCACTGGTGGGGTCCCTCAGCCTGGCCTGTGCCCTCTCACAATCCAGGACCCCTCGGGGGATGTCGGAGAGCTGGTTTTGGCTCGATCCTGCAGGCCAGGTTGAGGGATCCCACTGGTGCATGAATTCATGCACTGGGCCTCTAGGACTATATAATAAAATGCTAATATGCAAATTGTCCCCTCCACTGGTAATTCAACCAGGAGTTCAACCAGTGGATGGGGCCGGCCCGCCAACTACCCGTGGCCCTTCCCTCCAGCTGGCCGGGCCCAATTGACCCTGATCAGGGTGGGCCAGCTGGACCCCACCCATGCATAAATTCATGCACTGGCCTCTAATATATATATATGTGTGTGTGTGTTTTTATTGATTTCAGAGAGAGAGAGGAAGGGAGAGGGATAGAAACATCAATGAGAAAAATCAACACTAATCAGCTGCCTCCCACACACCCCCTACTGGGGATGGAATCCACAACCTGGGCATGTGCCCAGACTGGGAATCCAACAAGTGACCTCTTGGTTCATGGGTCAATGCTCAACCACTGAGCCATATCAGCTGGGCTAAAAGTAGTATTGTTCAATGTGGACCTAAGCCCCAAGTGATTTCCCAGGTCTATTGATTCAAATCTGAATTTTTAACAAGCATCTGATGAGTCTTATGTACACAGACAGTGGAGCATTTTTGCTCTAAGAAGCAATAGATTACAAATGTTTGAAAGAGCTGAAACATTAAAAAATTCTTATGCATAAAGCCAGGACTTAAACCAGGGCATTTAAGAAGCACACCTTGAACACCAATTTCCTAAAGCTGTCATTTCCTACAAGGTAGTGGTTCTCAACCTTGCCCTAATATTGGAATAACATGGGGAGATTTAAAAGAAATAGTGGATGTCCAGGCCCCACTCCTTGCCCCCAGAAAGTCTGATTTCATTCGTCTGGATATATCACCTCTTCCCAAGGGATACTATTGTCCAATCTAGTTTGAGAATCGGTTCCCATCCTTTCCATCTAAGTTATTAGACACTCCTTTTAACCTCTTTTTTTCCCTTTTACCTCTGCCTGATTATCTGTGGTGAATGACTAAAGAAATAGAACGTATTGTATTGAATGAACTAGTCAGCTCAGATGCCAAAGGGATGGATGGCGAGGTGGGGGCAGGGAAAGAACCAAAAATTTGCAGTTTTATTGCTTTGAGGCAAAGATAGTCATCCCCCAGTACAAGTTTAATAGACCTGCACTGAAGGAGGCCAGAAGGGACTCTGGGTGGGATGTGTCATAAAGGAGGCTTCAATAAAAAGGAGTTCAGAAATGATTTCATTTCATTAACATACTAGAGGCCCAGTGCATGAATTCGTGCACGGGTGGGGTCTCGCCAGCCTGCCTAATGGGGGCCGATCAGGCCCGGGGCCAGCAGGGAGGAGGACATGGGAGGTTGGCCTGCCGGCCCCACCCCCAATCAGGGTGGGGAGCCAATCGGGGCCCCCATGTGTGTCATAGCGACTGGTCATTCGCCATTCCGGTCACTTGGCTTTTATATATATAGATAATAAACTGAACACACAATGAACTTTAAAAATGCACTTCCATTTTTAATTTAAAAAATAAATAACAGCAAATCTGAACACAATTTTTCTACTTCAATGCACATTTTCCTAACTGTCCATGTTTGAATCCCAAGTAGTTTACAAAAATCATGGCAACAGGGCTTTTGACAAAGTTGAAATGAACAACTCAAAGTTGAAATGAACAACTCAAAACATGGCTAATGGATGAGTTTGGGCAGGACTATCGGCGAACAACTTTGGCTAAATTATTAAGAATCAGCCTGAAATCATCAACATGGAAGGAAAACTTTTTCCTTTTGTAGATTAGAAGTGGTATTCCACTCTCAACCCACCCAAAGAGGAACTTACCTTTTCCAACTTAATTTTAAAATCCCACTTGGTCATGGTGTAGACTTAAAAGCCTACAGAAACTTCGTTTCTTTCAAACTCACCTTCATTTACTTAGAATAAAAGAAAGCTAGGGTTGAAAGGATTCTAAAAATTATGTAACCTCAGTATGTATATATATTTTTTACATGAGGAAACTGAGGCCCAATATGACTGGACTACATATTGACTTGCCAAAAAGTACGCTATTGTTTTGTGTTGATGGTGGAGTTTTTCTTTCCTTTTCATTACACCTAAGAATGAGAGGAAAGAAGGAACAAATTTGAAGTCGATTACGTCTGGATCCAAGAGGTGGTGACATGAGTGTATACCAGTTAAATGTCATCCATCTGTACACTAGGATTTGAGCACTTAACTGTATAAAAGTTATGCCTCGATTTTAAAATAAGGAATGGCCCCATGATCTGGAGTAGCTAGAGGGGAAGGATTCTTGCAGCTTGGAAAGCTAACAAAGGTAGATTATCTCAAATCTTGCTTTAGTTCTTGTTTTTCCTTAGGGATTTGCAGTGTGACAGCAAGTTTTGAAGGGTGTTCCTGACAGGAGAAAATTACTGCAATTCTGGAGTCAGGTGTGAAGGTGGAGGGTAGGGCAGCATGGCCCAGGAGCCTTATTTATTTCGGGTTCACTTTCCTTTAATACCACTCACTTCCCATCCCACAACACACAACAATTTTGTATCCTGGAGCTGTTCCCACTGAAGACATTGAACTGCCACTCCCTGGGGGTCTGGTACAGTAGCTGCCATTTAACAGAAGCCTAATATATGTTGAATGAAACAATTCTTGAAAAAAAAAAAAGCAAGAAAGTCACCAGGACAGAGAAAGGAGATTAAAAATATCCCATAAACCAATATTCACTAGGGTTGTGACAATTTGGGGCTAATTTCAATGTTTTTCAATACTCCAGAGTTCTTCTCAGGGAACCTAAGTTCTTTCTCTTTTTATTCCTGCCCCTCATCTCTCCTATATTTAACAGAATCAAGGCATTTCTTGCGGCCTTCCCCTGTGACTTCAGCACACACCTTATTCATGACCTTTTGTCAAATATCACTCTTCCCTACCCAATCCAATGGCTTCCCAAGAAGATGAACCTTCCAATGTCCTGTAACCTATTATTCAGGACACTACCTAGAATGCCTCCTGTTCAGCAGGAGAGACCCTATGTTCCCTGTAATGTGGGGAAGGAACACATGGGAAATGTTATAAGAAGAAAGGGAAGGTATCTGGCATGTGTGCACCAGGACTCGCTCCCACGCTGCAGGAACAAGCTTGAGTTTTTCCTTCTGTCCCCAGTTTACATCGTTCTATCTTAATGGCAGCACGAAAAGTGGGTGAGGCATACGGGTCCCCTCCAGCCAGTGTGCGGGGCAGTTTCTCAGAAGTGGCTCCAGGCTCTGCCCAAGCCCTGCATGGCCTTTCTGTTCTTTCTCTTTCTTAGTTTTCTTGAGTTCCCCTTCGGTTCTTATCATCACTGTATCTCCAGTCATAAGTAATTACGCAAAAGGCTCCACAAGATGAGAGGGACTGTACGTGCAGAAGTAACCGGCACTCACATTCCAAATGATCTTAAAAAAATACAGAAAATCAATAATACTCCTAGAGAGGCCCAGACCTTATTCTGGCCGAGCAGAGAAAAGAAAGGACCATTAGGTGAGTGCCTACTACTTCACATGTTTGATCTCATTGGAACCTCCCAGCATCCTGTGTGGCAAGTATTATTCCCATTTTGAGAGGTGAGGAAATGGAAGCTCAGAAAATTTCAAATAATTTGAGGGAGTTTGATGATTTGAAACCAAATGGGTTTACTTCCAAAGCCCAGGCTCTTTCCATTACACCACGTTGTAGGTTCTCGTGGGTGAAGAAGACCAGCCCTTTCCCCACCATTTTAAATATGCATAGTCATGCCCGGCCACAGCAGCTCAGTGGTTGAGCACCGACCTATGAACCAGGGAGGTCACGGTTCGATTCCCGGTCAGGCACATGCCTGGGTTGTGGGCTCGATCCCCAGTCGGGGGCGTGCAGGAGGCAGCCAATCAATGATTCTCTGTCATCATTGATGTTTCTCTCTCCCCCTCTCCCTTCCTCTCTGAAATCAACAAAAATGTATTTAAAAAAATAAAATATGCATCCTCATTTCTTGAGGAACGCAGGATATATCTGAGAGGTCTATTCCCCTGACCCTGTGGTGAATGAGTCTGTCTCTCCTAAAAGAGGGGTGGCCAGACAAGCACACAAACACCGACCCAGGCAGGCAAACCCAAATTCTCGGAGGGGAAATTCTCTCTGCCTTGAAGAAAGCGGACTCTGCCACGTATAGGAGAGGCCCTGTTGAATGCCCCACATGTTGACCTAGGGGATCCATAGTCAATAGGTTGTCTAGTTGGCCACAAACATCAAAGTAGGATAGAAATACCTGGGCCATTTCCGTTGTTGATCTAGCTAAGGGTATGCGTTAAAGAGTTTGTCAGCACTGTCTTCTACATATAAGTGTTATCTGGGTATGGCCTCAATTAGCAAGCTGGGTTTTTAGTAAGAATCTCTAGTAGGATTATCTGTGTTTAACCTCAATTTCCTTATCTACAAAATAAGGGGGTTGTTTGAATGACTTTTAAGGCCCTTCTATCTCAAACGTCTTTAATTTTGTGTGGCTGTTGATGTGTGTGTAGGCGATATTTGATCACCTAAATCACATTAGTACCATAAACACATAATCAAATTAAATCCACAATCAAGAGGAATAAATAATCAAAAGGCGGTATTGCACTGTATTCTCCAGGGTAAAATCAGGCTGCAGAGAGGGGCTGCCGAGCCATCCAAACGGGGGCTGGAAGAGAAACTGTTGAACCCGGGCTTCTAAGTCCCTTAAATCCAGTGATTTGAGCTCAGAAGAGCTAACAGGACAAGAAACTGTTTGTGCAAAAGAAAGAATTTTGAAGGAGTCACAGTAGGAAGGCACCACTGCTGTGCAGTGAGGGCCACCAGTGGGGAGTGGGGAGGACCCCCGAGGGGCGCGGACAGCTTCCCTGTTACACAAGTGGGCGCGGGGGAGGGACACAGGAGCTTGGGGCTCACGAGAGTCCATGGCTTGTCAATAATGACAGCCATTCACACTTGAGAGGATCCAGTCTTCATTAAAAAAGATGTTCTTTTCCTCAAAAAAGACATAGTAGACATAGAAAGTTATAATTATTTCAAAGTACTTGATATCAGTCTCTCCCAATAGGTTATATGGGGTGGCAGATGTCCACGTGAGAAAACTACGCCACAAGCACAACTGTTCAGCAGCAGCAGAGCAAGAAATGCGTCCAAGGAGTGGGTTCCTGGGGTCGCTCCAGCCACCACCACAGGACTTTTCCAGGCTTTAGCAGGTCCCGCTGGCTCTGCGCTGAGGCTGAAATTTAACGATGGGGAGGGAGCTCGCTCTCTTGAGAAATGCACAGGACAGGTCAATTGTGGAATTCCACGTGGATTACAACTGTCGCATGGCCTCAGGCACGATCGGACAGAAGGTAGGAAAGAACTAAACGTTATGAGCTGGTGAGCCTCCTCCCAGAACAGGAAAGGCAGTCAGCAGCGGCCCGGCACCGGGAGGACACGGCCTCAGCTGTCCAAGGCGCTCTGCGTTTCAGAGGACACGGTCCTCACTGGGGTCCAGGCTCAGAAGAAAGGACGCCGGATTTCCGAGCTTTGGGAGGTGGTGGAGGTGGGACTTTGGCTTCTCTTCGCACGGGCAGTGGGGGAGCAACCTGAGGGAGCAAGGAAAAGGAGACATGAGTCCTCTTTCTTCCCAAGCCTGCCTTCTCCTCCACACTTCCAGCTCTGCTTCAGCTTCTAGCTAACCTTTGCCAAGTGGAAAGGGAAGTGAGGCTGACGTATCCTCCCTCGTTTGCCTTGAGTCTGTTATGCGCCAGCACTGATCTATCCCCAACACGTGGGTACTGGGCGCTCAATAACATTTGTTAAAGGAATGAAGGCAACCTACCAGAGGCCATTCCGGAATGACCGTCACCCACTCAGAAGTAAACTCCTAAGTATAAACCAGAACGCTGCCTGAGTCCCCGCTCCACCCGGGTGGGGAACGGAAACGCTCACGCTTCCATCAGGTGAGAAGGCCTCCCTGCGCCCGCTCCTTCCCGCTGAAAGCTGCCCTAGCTTTTATGGTTTCAGGAAGAACCAAGAATTGAGCAGTGACAAGTCCTATGGGAAACCTGTCCACTAAAAAGCCTGGAAAGGCCAAGGCTGCGTTCCCACGAGGGTGCTCTCCGGCCCGTGCCCATACCTCCGAGGAGTTCCTCTGGCTGCTTTTGGGGGGAGGGGGAGGAGGCAAAGTAGCAGTCACCAGCGCATCTGTCTGCAAAGATGGGGAGCCTAGAAAGGATACAAAGGAGATGAAGACAGAAAGAATTCATAAGGAATCTCATGGAACTTCTGGTTGCCATGGTAACACCTGAACCAACCAGCCAAATTGCTAAGCTCATAGTCCATGCTTACTGCGGACGGAATGAAGACCTGCTCACTCCTAGTGACAAAGGCAGTGCCCTTCATTCCCCGGAAGGCTTCACAAGAAGCTCTGCTATAAAAATTCCACTTTTCGTTCAGGGTTTTTACCATTAAACTGATGACGAAAACATTTCCTAGGATTTAGGGTATTACTCTGTTCTCTGACGTTCCCCAAGTGCTTAAAAAGTCACATAATCGGTGGCCTATAAATACGAGTTAAATTTAACTGAACTGTCTGTTTTATCCTTTAAAGGGTACGATACCCACTTCCTCCAGGAAACCTCACCTGCTTCTCTCTAGCTCTTGGTTGACCACTGTCTCCCGTTGGGCGCAGCAACTTACCCTGCAGTGCTCCCCTTACCAAGGGTGCCTTGGAATTCTCCTCAGGCCGTGTGGCCGCAAGGAGCTTATGGGCCTATTTCTTGCCCTCACTTTGGACCCTTCCCTAGATAAGGTACAGGGCTATCTAGTCAGTAGGTCATAAGAAACTTGCATCCTCTCTGGTCCTGCCTGGATCTACCTCATTTAGACTTTCATAATTGCAAAGGGGAGTGACGCCCCTTGGAGCACGAAAGAAAAGGTTAATGAGTCCTAGTAACCCGAGGGCTCCTTGGTTTGGCAAGGACTAGTCTAACTGCATTATACCCATGATGACTGAACTGGACCAGCTTTACATATACCTTGTGGCTGTTTTGGTAAAAAATTGCTCAGATTCATAAATACACTCCATTCTTAGTAAAATGAATATAAGGGATTCATATACAGGAAAACCTACTGCCCTAGCTGGTTTGGCTCAGTGGATAGAGCATCAGCCTGTGGACTGAAGGGTCCCAGGTTCGATTCAGGTCAGAGGCACATGCCCGGGTTGCAGGCTCGATCCCCAGTAGGGGGCATGCAGGAGGCAGCCAATCAATGATTCTCTCTCATCATTGATTTTTTTCTCTCTTTCTCCCTCTCCCTTCCTCTCTGAAATCAATAAAAAATATTTTAAAAAACCAACAACAAACTTACTTAGGGTCCTCGTAGCTTTAGGAGTGAGGGGAGGCGGGCTCAAGGGTGTTGACGGAGGAGGTGAAGAACCATGGAATGGTGTCAGCCGATTGTCCAACAGCTGGAGACTCTTCGGCCTTTGTGCTTTTCTGGATGGACTCTAGCATGGGGGTGGGGGAAACAGGAAAACGTACTCACGGTGAGGACGACTGAACTCATCAATGCTGAACAACCTTGTCTGCTGAGCAGAAACGTGTTAAAGGCGTAATTCCAGGAGCCATTTTAAGCTTAGCCCATTCCCATGAGGTGGCCACCCTGGCAAAGACACTAACAGCAATTCCCGAACCACAGAGTGTTTCCTGGCCGGCTGTGGACCTGGTTTTGACCACAGTTGGATTGTGTCGTTTAGGCTGGAAGTGAGCCACCCTGATTCTCAGGGAAAGCTGGTCTGGCCACACTTGATGTGGCTTTACGGAAGGAAAAGTACCTTTTATTTTTTTTTAAGTTAAAAGAAGAGAAATGACAATGTTTAGACTGACTCATGGAACATGGTGGCAAGAACCACATGTTTACACTGTGGCCCAAGATCTGACGCCATTGTTGGCTTAGAGACTCAGATTCTCCGAACAGGCTTTTCTTAGCACAGGCTGAGAACTGCCCCCGCCACAGGCTGCGGGCCCTGGGAGAGCCATGGCCAGGCTTCTGTCTGCTGACTCGGAGCTGTGAGGTGAATGGCAGTGTCCCTGGCTATAGGGAATGCTCTGGAAAACCTCTGTCGCATCCCTCCACCCCTTTTCTTACCATCAGATCAGGCTCTGGCGCTTTCTCTGCAATGACCTGGGACTTGCTCAGGCTCCATTCTTTTCTCTTGGACTTGCTGATCCGGTTCTCATTGTCCTCTTTGAGGGGCACATCTTCCACTCGGGCACCTGACGAGGCCCTGCGCTCCACAAGTGGCTCCAGGACCGACCTATCAGCAGAGAGCACGGACATATCACTAAACACTGGTGACCTGTGACCTCCCTCTCAGGTTCTAAAGCTGAATTTCCAGCTGCCAACTGAACTTCTCAAGGTAAACATGTACAGAAGTGAGACCATCCAAAGTACAGGAAGAAAATATTAGTGACTATTTATTTTATCTCAGGAAGAGAAGGTCTTATTAAACTTACAGGCAAAGACAGAAGTCACACAGTAAAAGATCAATGGGCAGCTTTGTGTAGAAGATAACAGCACATGCTCTGCAGTCAGACAACCGTGTCCAAACCCTACCTATACTTACTTGTTGGATGACCTTGGGCAGATAACCTTGTTATACCTCACTTTCCTTATCTGTAAAATGGGGGTAATAATAGTACCTTCCTTGTAAAGTTATTACAAAATAATCTGAGTATTCCTTAAATGGTTTTTAATGGCAATGAGAGATTTTCAAGCACAGCAGTAAATGTTGATTCAAGAACCAAAATTAGATCCTATGTATAGAGTGAGTTTTATGAGAAACAGGAGAGTCTCAAAATATCACTCCACAAATTATTTTTTATTTACAAAGGGAAGAATAGTAACTACACAGAAAAGAAAATGAACAAACCCTTAACCACATGATCAATTAACATCACCATTAAGAGAAAAAAGGACATAATGTGCTTCTGGATATAATACCGGAAATGAACTCATCACACAAAATTGTATAACCTGAATCCTAAGCATAAGGAAACTCCTGAGTGAAGGGAGGTTCCATGAAACAACTGGCTCATAATTTTCAAAGATGTCAATATTGTGAAAGACAAGGAAAGACTAAGGAAACTGTCCTAATAAAGAACAAAGAGACATGGCTAAATACCATATATGATCCTGATTGGATCCTGTGCCTGAAATTGCTATAAAAGACATTGGAAAACTGACAAAACTGCAATATGAGTTGTAACTTAAAGTATTATGTCAATGTCAAATTTCCAGGCTGTTCTGCAGGGAGTGGTTATCTATATAATAAAAGCCTAAGTGACCGTTATGGGGGAATGACCAGAACGACCAGTTGCTATGATGTGCTCTGACCACCCAGGGAGCAGATGCTCAATGCAGGAGCTGCCTCCTGGTGGTCAGTGTGCACCCACAGGGGGAGCGCTGCTCAGCCAGAAGCCGGGCTCACGGCTGGCGAGTGCAGCGGCAGTGGCGGGAGCCTCTCCCACCTCTGCAGCAGTGCTAAGGTGAGCAAGCAGGTGAGCGGTAAGGAGCAAGGGGTCCTGGACTGTGAGAGGGCGCAGTGAACGAATTTCATGCACCGGGCCTCTAGTATAAGATAATATGCCTGTTCTTACATTATGATGTATGTAACCTAAGCTCAAATGGCACAGTGAGGTAAGAAAGAGGGGGAAAGACAGAGAAGAGAAACAAATGTGCCAAAATGTAAAAAAAAAAATAAAAAATGGGGGGGGGGCGCTTAAAAAGATACATCTTTATGATGGGTATCATTTAGAACTTAGGAATGGGTATTTATTTATTTTTTAGCCCTCACCCAAGGATATGTTTACTAATCTTAGAGAGAGAGAAAGGGAGACAGAGACATATCGATGTGAGAGAGAAACATTGACCAGCCACCTCTTGTACGCAACCCATCTGAGGACTGAACCCACAACCTGGGTATGTGCCCTGACTGGGAACCTTTTTGTGTATGGGATGACGCCCCAACCACCTAAGCCACCCAGCCTGGGCTGGAATAGGTATTTAATAATTCCTAAATTGATTTAAAATTGGTAGGTTTTGCTTCATAAAAATAAGAAGTGTGGAGGGATGCACAGGTAGAGCGCAGAGGGCTTGTAGGACAGTGAGATCATTCTGCAATGGTGCATGCATATCATCACACATTTACCAAAACTCAGAATGTACGACACCAAGAGTGAAGCCTAATGGAAACTATGGACTTTGGATGGTGATGATGTGCCAGTATCGGCACCTCAACTGAAAAAATACACCACTCTGGTGGGGGATGCTGACAATGTGGGGGCTGTGTGCGAGGGGGCAGTGTATATGCGAGCTCTCTGCACCTTCTGTTCGAACTCACTGTGAACCTAAAACTGCTCTAAAAATAAAGCCTGTATAAAAAGACATTTTTGGTATGAATAAGACAATATAAAAACCACAGCGATCAGCTCTTAGTATCTAAAAATTAAAAGCTTCTGTTCAGCAGAAAGCATCATTAGTAAACTAAAACTATTTGCTATGCATATTTTTTAAAATTGATTTGAGAGAGAGAGAGAGAGACATTGATTTGTTGTCCCACTTATTAATGTAAGTATTGGTTGCTTCCTGTATGTGCCCTGACCAGGGATTGAACCTTTGGCAACCTTGATGTATTAGGACGATGCTCTAACCAACTGAGCTACCTGGACAGGGCTGCCATACATATTTTTGATGGCAAATATCTTTAATATATGAGAACTTTTACAAATCAAAAAGGAAAATATGAGTAGTTAAAATACAGAGGGGCCTTGACTTACGAGTGTCCCGACTAAGGAGTTTTTCAAGATACGAGCCGTTTCTCGGCCGACTTTTTGAGTTGCGAGCTAAAATTCGGGTTACGAGCCAGCTTCAGATACCCCACCGCTAGTTGGAGCAGCGAACATCACAGTGAACGCCACGACATCAGCCCAGCATCACGTGTCTCACTCGTTCACTTTAAGATTTGACATATGAGTAATTTGAGTTACGAGCTCCATCACGGAATGAATTAAACTCGTAAGTCAAGGCCCCCCTGTATTTTAAACTTATCAAAGGATATAAACAAGTGTTTCATAAAAAATATCCAAAATATTTTTAAAATTTTAGTGTCACTAGTTATTAAATACACAAATATTAAAACAACATATTTGGAGAGGATAATCTGGAAAATTTTTTTTACATTTTATTTTGAAAATTTCCAAACAAAAGAAAGTGGAGATAATAATAATAAACTTCTATATATACATCAAAAATGATCACTCATGGCCAACCTTGTTTCTTACACACCCAGTCTATTCCTGCCCCCATAGATTAGCTGGAAGTGACTCTTGGATGTCACATCATCTCATCTATAAATATTTCAGTGCCTATTTCTATAAGACAAGCCCTATCTTCATAGCATAACTACAGTCCCGCCATCATTCCTAAAAAATTAATCATTTCATCAAACATCCAGTCAATGGTCAAATTCCCTGATTGTCTGATAACTGTTTTTGTAAGTGGTTTGTTTGAATCAGGATCCAAACAAGATTCATTCAGTGTATTTGGTTGCTATGCTTCTTACGTCATTTTAAGCCCTTTAAGCTGTAGGTGCCCTTTCTACAAAATAGATTTTCCCTCTGTGTGGCAGGATGAGAACGTCCCAGAGAAGTTCGATTAAGGAACCACTGGAGCCACAATGGGAGATGCTTCTAGAATGCAATTTTTTTTTCTTATTTCAAATTATTCTCTCCTCTTCTGAATCACTTTTTAAATTTATTTTTTAAAAGATTAAATCTGAATTTTTTATTTTTTGGTATTTTCCAATTGTTACAGAGAGAAAAACAATCATCACCCAAGACTCTACCGGATCAATTATTACTTTACTTGAGAGACTGAGAATAAAGGTAAAAGACTGTGAGTCACTAAAATTAGTCAAAGAGATGTGAGTTTCAGTAGGGCCTAATTATGAACCAAATTAAATCACTAAACAGCTACATATAGTTATTTACAGTCCCACAGTGTCTGAGTTACTTTTTTCTTATAACGACAACTTCAACAATTTCCCCGAAACATCAAAGATTAAATTTTTTTAAAGTTTGGTTTGGAGCCCCTACTTCGTGGTGCTCTAAGCAGGCACTTAGCTGGCCAGCTGTGTAATCACTCCGGCTTCCTTAACAAGATGCATTGTGTTTCACAAAGCAATTCTCTTTCTGGGCCTTAGTCTCCCATTTGCCAAACAGGATGGATACATTCTACTTTCTGCCAACGAAGAATTGATCCCGTACAGATGGAACACCCATATCACCACGGAAGTTTAATGAATACTGTGCCATAACACTGGTGATAGGAGACTCAGGGTCATCAGGTGTGACCCTGAGTAACCATTGGACAGGTTATTTTTGTGTGTTATAATATGAAATTACAGATCTATGAGTAAATGGTGAGTCAGTTGGCTTGACTTATTTCAACACTAAAATACATAATGAAGTTACACAATGAAGTTAGGTATTCATCATACATATTCACTTAGGCAGGTCACAAAACGGTACCTGCAATGCTTCTGCGCTTATGTACAATGTGTATGTACTTTTCCTATATTACCAACTCAAACTTAACAGTGGTTACTTCTGAGTGACAAAGTTATAAGCCTTCATTCTTTCAAAAGTTTCTAATACTTTGAAAAATGTCTACATGTACATATATTAACTTTATAATTAGCAAAATATTATTTTAAAATAATACCTTTAAAACAAAAGAACACACCATAAATGCACTCCTTCAAAATATTTTAAATTTGAGGCTGTGGAAAGGCACTCTGTGTTTCTGGCAAGGAAAGCTCCGAATCACAAAGCCATCCATCCTCCTAAAGTTAGTCCATAAATGGAATGTAAAAGGGGATCCTAGACAAATTAATCCCAAAGTGAGCAATGGGTAAAACTAGGCAGGTAAATTCTGAAAAGGATTACTAGATGTTAAAAATCTTTTAAGTCTATAGTAATTAAAACTGCATAACAGCAGTGGATAAACACAAAGGTAGATCAAAAATAAAAAGGGAAAAAGTCCACAAATAGGCTAAAGAACATCTAAGAGTGTGATATTTTAATAAGGTTGACATTTCAAATCAATAGAGAAAAGACAGCTTGCTTACTAAATGTTATAGAAAGAACTGGGTAGTTGTATGAGGGGAAAAAGTTGGCTTTATACCTCACACTTTATATTAAATTCCAAAGAATCAAGATTTAATTGTGAATAGTGAAACCCTAAAATTAGTTTCTTGTAGGGAAGGCCTTCCGTCACGATATTATATGCAGAAGTTATAAGATCAAATATTAATATACTTGATTACATAAAAAAGTCAGAACTAAAAAATTTGAAGCGAAGTCAAAAGATAAGGAGATCTGCCCAGCCAGTGTGGTTCGGTGGTTAATTTTTGAGCATCAACCTATGGAACTAGGAGGTCACGGTTGGATTTCCGGTCAGGGCACATGCCTGGGTTGCAGGCTCAATGCCCAGTGTGGGGTGTGCAGGAGGAAGCTGATCAATGATTCTCTCTCATCATTTATGCTTCTATCTCTTTCTCCCTCTCCCTTTCTCTCTGAAATCAATTTAAAAAAAATATATATATATATATATCAAGGAGATTTAACCAAACCACTATGCTGTACACCTAAAACTAATACAAAATAATACTGAATGTAAACTATGATTAAAGAATAAAATTTTAAAAAACAAAGGAGAAATTACGGGAAACATTCAACTCATTTCACAGACATGGCCAACATCCAACAGAAAATGTACACAAAATATTTGACCACAGTTCATAGAAAACAAAACACAAACAGCTACTAAACAGATGAAAAAATGATAAACTTCATACAAGATAAATAAAAAAAAAATCCCTATTCCAAGAAAATATTTTCCACCTACCAGATTGGCAAAAATTAAAAAGACTGGTAATATACAACTTGGTGGCAAGGTGCAGGTGACCGACCAGGCATGTATGTTGCTGGTGGGATTGTAAATTGGTATAATCTCTATGGAAGTCAGTTTAGAAATAATTTTGGAAATTGCAACTATATAGGTTTGACAGAGCAATTTTACTTTGGGAATTTTTCTCCTGTGGATATATTTATATATTTGCAAAATAACTGATTTTTAAGATTCCTAGTTGCTGCATCAACTAAATGACCACCAACAGGCTCTGGTGGCATGTATCCAGTGCAGACATACCACAACATGTCTGCAGCTCAAGTAAAGAGGGGCTCTCTATGTTCTGAAATGGAATAGTTTTAAAGATCTCGTAAGTGAAAAAAGCAAGGGAAACAGAGTATTACACGCTGCCATTCATAGAATAAGGAAGTGTGGGGAGAAATGTGTGTTGAGGTATTGTGTGCACCTGTGAGGAGCTGCTGGAAAGGCAGCAGGAACCTGGATGCTAACATCGCCTGCCTCTGCAGAGCGGCGCTGGTAAGCTGGGAGGCAGGGGTCCATGGGAGATGCTTCATGATAAAGCTTTTTGTACCTTTGGAATTTCATATCTTGGGGTTAGATTAACTATTCATGAAATAAGTTTAATTTTAAAATTATTTTTTAAAATTAAAATGATAAAAAATGAAGCAATAACTACAAGTTATTGTGAAAAAATCAATCAGAATGTGATTAGGTAGATGTTAGGATGTGACACTGTTATGGTTCCCTCTCTCCCCCACCCCCCGTTTTTCATAGCTGTTGTTATCATTATGTAAATAATGGTATTCCTCATGAGGAAGAAATTAAGAATGACCCAAAGGCTAATAACCCATGAACTCTGAATTATTTCCCTTGTGAGGATAAGTATCTACATTGACGAAGTCTCACTTTGGTACCAAAAGTAAATATTGGAAAGGAGTTACTCCACCCCTCCTGGCAATTAAAGATCAAACCCTTACCCATCGGATCCTGGCCTGGAGGAAGCATTATCGGATGAGTTAGAAGAGGTGGAAATCACAGAGGACGTCACCGAGGTGATGGACAATCTCCGCAGCGTAGACGACATGATGTAGGGCAGCACAATGGACCCCGTGCGGCTCTGCTTCCTCTCGGTCAGGTTGGGTGGCTGGAGAACACATGCCCCCCCTGGTTAGCTGGCCCAGAACTCAGCCCAGATGAAGGAGTGCAGGCCCCCCCGCCCCCCGCCCCGTTTGCTTGTGGCAAGTGCCCAACTGTATTGGCTGGCACCCCATTCTGATTGGTTGGTGACTGTGCTGCCTCAGTTGTTAAATAATGAAGCACTTATATTCTTATTTATAAACACAACTTATGTTAAACCTATTTTGTTTCTAAGACTAGAAAAAATACACCGTAATTTGCTGTCAGCCACGAGAGAGAAATAACCAATATGTTCGCCTACCAATAAAACAGCAAAATCCTCTGCCTGCTTTTCCAGCTTTGCTTCTTTCAGGCATTAAAAAAAAGTGGAGTATTATAAACATCATGCAGCCAAAGAGTAAGCTGGGATCATAGTACTGGTCTAGTGTTGTCTCATTGGTCATAATTTACCACTGGCCAGCCTCCAAATTCCCATACAGAAAAAAAAAAAAGAAAAGAAAAGGAATATTGGCCTAATAGGAAAGTTTTAGACTGAAACTGCAGACCTGAATCTCAACCTGGTGAATCTCAGGGAGTAAGGGAACACTGACCTACCTTCATGAGAAATTTCTCCAGTGGGACATTGAACCCTGCATGCCACCATTTCAAATTTATATGCTAATGTTGACCTGGGTCTAAGCGAAACCAAACTCATGAGGTGAAAGTCACAGTGTCTGCCTGCCATCTAGGAATTTGTGTGGAAAACAAATTTTCCGAGGAGAAAACTCCTAACTGGTGGTAGGTTAGGAGGCAAATTTCAGGAATTCATGATTGAACACTCAGATGACGGAAAGAGATGATCAAACAGACTCTCTGGAGAGAAAGGTAGTGGAGATGGAGGTATGGGAAGAGAAGAGAGAAGTGCAGAAAAGAAGAAATCTAGAGCTTGATTTGAGGAAGAAAATCTGAAAATTGGAGGTTCCGGAATAAGGCAGTTAAATAGAGCAGGTGAACTCACGTTAAGAAGAGCAGGTAAATGAAGGTGGGACCAAGCAAACAATCCACTGCTGAAAAGGTTAGCACATGCACCCCCCACCCAACTTCTCAAGAGGAAAAACAGAAATTTGTAGCTGTGAGAAATGTGTTAGAATGGTCAAAAAATTATGAAATCAGCTACATGCATTGTAAATGTCCTTCACAATTCTTTCTCACTTCGAAGGTGTCAAGAGTGAAAACTTATCAAAATAAAAATATATTAGAAAAAACTGTAAGAACTGGGCTAAGTCAGGACAGGAACAACCAGTGTCTGGGATCAGGGGCACCTCAACTTCTAACAGAGTTGTTCTCAAAGCGCGGGCCCTGCACCAGCAGCATCAGCACCACCTGGGAGCATGTTAGCAATGGAAATTCTCGGGCCCAGCCCAGAGCGATTGAATCAGAAACCCTAGGGATGTGGCCCAGCAACTTGTGTTTTCACAAACCTTCCAGAAGGTTATGAGGGTTGTTCAAGCTGGAGAAGCCCTTGGTAGCAGGATGGTAGAAGGTCATCAACAGTAGACCATGGCTTCTCTGACATTCCACGCCCCCATCACCCGCCCCATATTTTCATGCCACCTACGCTACTTTGACTCATTTGGCATCTGAAAAACCAGTCAATACTATAAAAGGTAAGAGAGAATAGAGAAAGCTTAAAGGCTACTTAGACAAAGCTTACCAGTGTGATAACCCCATAGAGCCTTTCCACTTTCTCCTTGAGTTCCCGGAAGCAAGAGGTCAAACGGTTGTGCAGCGGCTTGAGCTGCTCCGTCAGCTTCTCCCCATGGATGCGGATCCCCTCCGTCAGCAGGGGCA